ACCCGCAGAAGACGTTGCGTCCTCACAGCTTACCAAACAAGACCTCTCAAGAAGAGAAATAGGAAGGATGAAAGGGAAGGTAAGGTTGAAAAAACCTTGTTGCTCCTGCACCAACTCTTTGTCCGCCGTAGCTGTGTTGGAATCGCGGTCACCCGCAGAAGACGTTGCGTCCTCACAGTTTATCAAACAAGACCTCTCAAAAAGAGAAATAGGAAGGATGAAAGGAAAGGGTAAGGTTGAAAAACATTTTTTGGTTGGTCCTGACAACTGGCCAGCCAGTCTTCCAAGAAAAGCACATAGTCCGGGGTCGGATCGTCGGACATGGCTACCGAGTACTCGTCCACCTCTGCCCCCAAAGCCTCCAAAGCTTGGATTGCCTCCTTTGCGCGAGAGATGAGGAGGACAGCCATTGCAGAAGGATGAAGAAAGGATGGATCGAAGAAGCTGTGATGCGAAAAGCTTCGGATGAGACTGACATGTCCGAAGCCCGTTCACGAGTCAGGCTGATCCTACACAATAACATATTCTTTTTTTTAAAAAAAAAAAGAGAAAGTGGTTTTGTTTTGCAGTTGTTCCAGTACTCCCCGCCTGGACACCTTGTTGGTTCTACTGCCTCAACACCTCCTACTGGCAAAACCAAGACCTCGACCGTTGAACGAACTAGCAAGCTGAAGAAACAGGGTGCTTTTACCAAAACCCCTCTCTCTGTTAATTCAGCATCTTGGTCCTGCTTTATCGACCTGCCTGTGGATGACCTGTCATATCAACCTGCCTCTGGATGATCTGTCATATCAACCTGCCTCTGGATGGTCGTATGAACCTGCCTTATGATAGCCTTGTTATATGAACCTGCCCGTGTAGTTGAACAGGCAGGTTGTAAATTTGACCGTGACCTCTGCCCCTGGCACTGGAAAGAGGCTGAAAAAAATCCGCGTAATCACCTACTACTAAGGCAGGCAGGCTCTAAGGCAGGCAGGCTCTAAGGCAAGCAGGCTCTACGGCAGGCAGGCTCGGCAGGCAGGCTCTAAGGCAGGCAGGCTCTAAGGCAGGCAGGCTCTAAGGCAGGCAGGCTCTAAGGCAGGCAGGCAGGCTCTAAGGCAGGCAGGCTCTAAGGCAGGCAGGCTCTAAGGCAGGCAGGCTCTAAGGCAGGCAGGCTCTAAGGCAGGCAGGCTCTAAGGCAAGCAGGCTCTAAGGCAGGCAGGCTCTAAGGCAGGCAGGCTCTAAGGCAGGCGAACAAGGCAGGCAGGCTCCTAAGGCAGGCAGGCTTAGGGCAGGCAGGCTCTAAGGCAGGCAGGCTCTAAGGCAGGCAGGCTCCTAAGGCAGGCAGGCTCTAAGGCAGGCCGGGCTCTAAGGCAGGCAGGCTCTAAGGCAGGCAGGCTCCTAAGGCAGGCAGGCTCTAAGGCAGGCAGGCTCTAAGGCAGGCAGGCTCTAAGGCAGGCAGGCTCTAAGGCAAGCAGGCTCTAAGGCAGGCAGGCTCCCTAAGGCAGGCAGGCTCTAAGGCAGGCAGGCTCTAAGGCAGGCAGGCTCTACAAGGCAGGCAGAAATAAGGCAGGCCGGAAACCTGGGCGAGGCAGAGATAAGGCAGGCAGGCTCTAAGGCAGGCAGGCTCTAAGGCAGGCAGGCTCTAAGGCAGGCAGGCTCTAAGGCAAGCAGGCTCTAAGGCAGGCAGGCTCTAAGGCAGGCAGGCTCTAAGGCAGGCAGGCTCTAAGGCAGGCAGGCTCTAAGGCAGGCAGGCTCCTAAGGCAGGCAGGCTCCTAAGGCAGGCAGGCTCTAAGGCAGGCAGGAAGCACCAAGGCAGGCAGGCTCTGGGCAGGCGAGGTGGGCAGGCGGAAGGCTCTAAGGCAGGCAGGCTCTAAGGCAGGTGAGCTCTAAGGCAGGCAGGCTCTGAGCAGGCAGGCTCTTAAGGCAGGCAGGCTCTGGAGCAGGCAGGCTCCTAGGCAGGCAGGCTCTAAGGCAGGCAGGCTCTAAGGCAGGCAGGCTCTAAGGCAGGCAGGCTCTAAGGCAGGCAGGCTCTAAGGCAGGCAGGCTCTAAGGCAGGCAGGCTCTGCAGGCAGGCAGGCTCTGGAGCAGGCAGGCTCTAAGGCAGGCATGAGGCCCTAAGGCAGGCAGGCTCTAAGGCAGGCAGGCTCTGAGGCAGGCAGGCTTGAGGCAGGCGGGCTCTGAGGCAGGCAGGCTCTGGGCAGGTAGGCTCTAAGGCAGGCAGGCTCTAAGGCAGGCAGGCTCTAAGGCAGGCAGGCTCTAAGGCAAGCAGGCTCTAAGGCAGGCAGGCTCTAAGGCAGGTAGGCTCTAGGGCAGGCAGGCTCTAAGGCAGGCTCTAAGGCAGGCAGGCTCTAAGGCAGGTAGGAGGCAGGCTCTGGGGCGGGCAGGCTCTAAGGCAGGCAGGCTCTAAGGCAGGTAGGGTCTAGGGCAGGCAGGCTCTAAGGCGGCCAGGCTCTAAGGCAGGTAGGCTCTAAGGCAGGCAGGCTCTAAGGCAGGCAGGCTCTAAGGCAAGCAGGCTCTAAGGCAAGCAGGCTCTAAGGCAGGCAGGCTCTAAGGCAGGTAGGCTCTAGGGCAGGCTCTAAGGCGGGCAGGCTCTAAGGCAGCTCTAAGGCAGGTAGGCTCTAGGGCAGGCAGGCTCTAAGGCGGGCAGGCTCTAAGGCAGGCAGGCTCTAAGGCAGGTAGGCTCTAGGGCAGGCTCTAAGGCGGGCAGGCTCTAAGGCAGGCTCTAAGGCAGGCAGGCTCTAAGGCGGGCAGGCTCTAAGGCAGGCAGGCTCTAAGGCAGGCAGGCTCTAAGGCAGGCAGGCTCTAAGGCAGGCAGGCTCTAAGGCAGGCAGGCTCTAAGGCAGGCAGGCTCTAAGGCAGGCAGGCTCTAAGGCAGGCAGGCTCTAAGGCAGGGCTCTAAGGCAGGCAGGCTCTAAGGCAGGCAGGCTCTAAGGCAGGCAGGCTCTAAGGCAGGCAGGCTCTAAGGCAGGCAGGCTCTAAGGCAGGCAGGCTCTAAGGCAGGCAGGCTCAGGCATGCAGGCTCTAAGGCAGGCAGGCTCTAAGGCAGGCAGGCTCTAAGGCAGGCAGGCTCTAAGGCAGGCAGGCTCTAAGGCAGGCAGGCTCTAAGGCAGGCAGGCTCTAAGGCAGGCAGGCTCTAAGGCAGGCAGGCTCTAAGGCAGGCAGGCTCTAAGGCAGGCAGGCTCTAAGGCAGGCAGGCTCTAAGGCAGGCAGGCTCTAAGGCAGGCAGGCTCTAAGGCAGGCAGGCTCTAAGGCAGGCAGGCAGGCAGGCAGGCAGACAGACAGCCAGACAGACAGACAAGCAGGCAGACAGACAGGCAGCCAGGCAGGCAGACAGACAGGCAGGCAGGCAGCCAGGCAGGCAGGCAGGCAGGCAGGCAGGCAGACAGACAGACAGCCAGGCAGCCAGGCAGGCAGACAGACAGGCAGCCAGGCAGGCAGACAGGCAGGCAGGCAGGCAGCCAGGCAGGCAGCCAGGCAGGCAGGCAGGCAGGCTCTAAGGCAGGCAGGCAGGCAGGCTCTACGTCTTGTTTCGAGTATTCTCTGACAAGCAGCCCAGAAGACAGGATCGGGATCGCCGGCTTCTGCGCATTGAGGGTCGCCCCATAAGGAAAGACAAACTCCAGGCCGCCGTCGTCCTGGCTGAGGTGCGCTTCCCCGTCCGCAAGCGGTGACGACGACCCGTTGGGTTTGATCCATCGGATGCGACACAGAAATGGTCCACCGGATGCCCTGAATGGTGCGGTGTCTCTCTTTCTGAGGCCCGGTACACATCTCTGTTCTGCGGTAAAAGGGAAACCCAGGCCCACTTCGCGGATCAGCGCGGAGGGTCCTTTCATTTGAGGGTGTTTTTGAGGGCACCCTCTTTCGTTTCAAAACAAAAAGACCCGTCTTGGAGCTCCCCCATTGACACAAACTCGCCAAGCTCGTGTTTCTCTCGCTGCGCAATCCCCGCCTTCGCGACGGTGACCGCCTCCGCATCATCCTGGCTGAAGAATCGTGCACTGACACCCATCCAGTTTGAGCATCCGCTTAAGGTCTCAGCAGGAATCACGGCTCAAATCGAAGCGAACATTTGAGTGTCAGACAGTTCCACATATAATATCATCAGGTTCGATCAAAGAAAACAAAAGAGTACCAGTCCTTTGTGATGTTCAAGCCCAGCTTGTCAGTGTTTTCCTTCTCCTTCTTCTTCTCGCCATTCGCTGACCGGACCTTCTTGCAACTCTCTGAAGCGGATTGCTAGTTGAAACAACCTGCCCAAATGTTGTTTCATCCGACCATCTGCCCGCTTCGAAAGATTGAACAGGTCTGGAACACAAACCACTAGGAAAGAGCTGCAAGCACTTGCCCATTATTTGCGCTGGTTATTAAAGGGAACCAAAATGGGCAAAGACCTATTTTTGAGACAGATCTGATGCCTGCTGTACCCTTTGAGCAGCACAAATCCTAAATGAGCCAGACGGAATCCCCAAAGCTAGCTTACGGGTGCTCGTTTCACGCGGTGAGATCGTTGCAATTTGCCCAACCATCACCTGATCCGGAGGAACTGTGACGCTGCCAAACGCTACGTGAGTGACCTGAGTCCGCCGCGAAATCACGGCAAAGCGTGCCGTGCGTAATAAGACACTCCTGCAATGTGCTGCGCGATGGCGATACACGCAGCCAACGGCACAAGCATCAGCAATCAGCTCCGTGACAAGAATATGCACAATGAGTTGGCTAAATTGCGTCACTTCCTCACTTCAAAACGCTGCTCTGGAACACGTCAAAGCGCGAAACCACCTGCCTTGGGATGATGGTATTTGTGGTACACGGTACGAACCTGAGTCTCGCGACTTCATCCAAACACAACATGTTGCCCACATCGGCATCAGGCGAATCGCTGCAGCAGCCACTCGGCGGTTGTGGCATCATCGCTCTGTCTCTTGGTTCGGCGCATGCAAAGCAATCATGCAGCCATGCACAGCAACAGAATCGGCACTGCGTGGAGTGCCCCCCTTCTATTCGAATTCCATCTCTCAAGGCTTCACAGGCTCCACAGGCTCCACAGGCGCCATGCCGCTCACGAGACGCAAGTCCGGAACACCAGCCGCCGGGGTGGTCTCGATGCCGCACTCGTTGGTGCCCCTGCGGATCTTGAACAGCCCATGCATCCCCCAGCGCGGGGAGTAGGAGTTGGCGATGAGCCAGTAGTCCATGGGCTTCTTGCCGAAGGCCTTAGTTCGCTGGCGAGTGGTAGGGAATGAGCGAGTCAGGGTTTTGGGAATGAACCGTTTGGGGATTCTCCAGTCATAGGGGATTGTTTATATAGGTCATTCCCTCATTCCCTGCTGAGAACCAGCAAGTTGAACTTTTGGCCAAAAGGACTAAAAGGACATGACATCTTTGTGTGTCTGGACGATGCCCAAATGGCAATTGGTCACAGGTGATTGGTCAGAATGATTCCTCCACTTCGGCTTGGGCAGTTAGGCTTGTGCAGTTAGGCTTGTGCTCTTGGCAACAGTCTCCATGAAGTTCCAAAACCTCTGATGAAATATCGACCATGAGAAATGTTGCTTAACCATCATGCGAGTTCGAAAGGGGTCAACCCAAACCAATGCAAATAATGTAAAACAAACAAAACCGGCCGCACCCATGTTTGCAACTGTCCCTTGCCTTGGTGGCGATGCGACTGGCAGATCTTTCATGTAAAAAGATCAGATCGAAGCACAATTGCGCAACAAGTTTAACTGCACAACCCTTGGCATGGTAGCAACCACGTTGTGTTGCGTTGTGTTTGCAGCGCCTCAAAATGAACAGAACCGAACAAACAACTTGCCAAGAACAGTTCACTTTCTGCTGAGGACAAGTCATCCAGTTCCGGCTCTGAGGCCCACGCTTCCTCAGTGCCCCAGCCAAGCATGCGCACCGCATGCCCTGGGAGCCATCGGTGTCTTTCGAGACTTCCCGGACCCCCTTGGAATCTGACCAAAAAATCCTTCCCTCCACATGGTTGGATGGGTAGTTGGAAGAACAACAAGAATTACCCGAGAAAGGGGTCCCTCATGGCGTTGGAAAACCAGCCTTTGTGCGGTGTACCAGCACAGGACCCCATCCCCACAACTAGTTTATCAATTTCAACGGTTGCTTCGTTCGTGTATCACAGAAAGTGGCAAGCTAACACACGATGTCCCACCACCATGATTCCCCAAAGGTAAGGTTCTGTGTAACAAACAGAAGGGCGATCTCGGCAAGATGAGTCATCCAGCATTCACAAAGCCCTTGCATGGGATTGGCTTTCCTTTGTGAAAGCCGATCCCTGGCGGAAAGCAAACCTTCAGGGCTCCTCAAGCCTTAAAAGAAAAGAGGCCGAGCGGTACTGCCTAGCGGGAACACATGTTGGGGTCTAAGGAAAACAATTCGAAGCCGTTTAATGGGGGTGTCCAAAAATGGTGAACCCTTTTTGGGCGTGCTTACGGCGCAAACTAGGATACAACCAAAAAAAGGCACAAGCTAGGAAACATGCTCATATTACTCATATTCGGGTCATGTCCTTGTTTGCTAGTCTAACGCGTACCTCAGTGACTGTTGGCGTGGCTGAAAGAAGCAGAGACGCCTTCAACATGCCCGGTTGTGCTCTCATGTGGTTTAGTGATTTGCTTGTGGCTTGACAAACCACCCTGAGCTTTCCCTTTTGCAACACTGAGGCCCCTCCCACAAGGGGGTGGGGCATTCAATTTATTTCCTTCAACCTCCCGGGAAACATGCACATGGAAATAGTCCCCTTTCAGGGACAACTGTAAACTGTAACTTGTTGAAGCACATGTTTTTTGGAGCGGCCAGTTGGCTCCGTTTCGGGCCACTTCCCCGCCCAGGTGGCCACGTTCGGCCGGTGGGCCTCCCAAAGGCCCGTACGCCCCGGGCGTGCGGAAGTACACGCCGCTCTTGTAGCTCATGAAGTCAGAGAACACCTGGGAGGATCGCTACCCCCAAGCCGACAGGGGAAGACGGCCTGGGTGTGGCTCAAAGTTAAAGAGCTGGGGCAAACCGCAGGTTTTGGACTTTGTGTCCATAAACCAAGGTAGGTGGCACTTCTTTTTGAGCAGCCGCATGTAACCCGTGGCAATGGTTTGGAACCCTTGGTCGTGAGACCGGCGAGCATGGGGTTTCCATTCTAGACCGGCGAAATCGGGAGCCCGGAAGAGGTCTCCAAAGACGACATCGGCATCACTGCGCGACCTTGACGCGCAAAAGTCAAAAACAAAAGCGAGCACGGACCATCGACTGCGCGCGAGCCTAAACAGGTTTATTGGGGGGCCTCGCATGGCAAAACCAAAACGGCAAAAAAACGAAACAAGGTCAAAACCGAGGAGGCAAGTCTTGGTTTAGGAGACTCCGCAAAACAAAACAAAACATGCAACCCAGTAAGGGCCCTGCAGGCAACAACCTCAAAGCACAATCGAGCGGTGCCCCATCTACTCCTGATTCTTATTCTTAACGTCAGAATCTAAACCAATAATGAACCACAAAAAGTCACGATTGACCTTGGCTTGGCTGGCAGTTTATCAAAGGGGTGGGTGTAGGGCTCATTTCTGTTGGGGTTGGAGGGCTTCGGGCCGGTTTAGGGTGGTTGGTTTAGGGTTGACTTAAGGTTGGCTTGGGGTGAATTTAGGGTGGGTTTGGGGTTGGTTTAGGGTTGGTTTAGGTTTGGCTTTAGGGTTGGGTGAAGTTTTGGGTTTGGCTTTAGGGTGGGTTTAGTCTTTGTGCTAGGGTTTAAGGACACACACACACACGCACGCACGCACGCACGCACGCACGCACGCACGCACGCACGCACGCACGCACGCACGCACGCACGCACGCACGCACACACGCGTGGTTGGGTCTTCCGCAGCCCCCCTTTCCCCGCAGAGCTGGGGATGACAAATACATAGAGATTGGACAGGTTGAGGAACAAATGCTCAACAAACTGTAAATGTCACGACAAAAAGGCTCAATGTCACAAAAGACAGCGGGTGTTTGACATTTGCAATAACACACTGCACTAACGCCAAAACAAAAGGGTTAATCCAAGCAAACTGTTTCTTAATGTCAAACATCAAAGGAGACCGACCACAGGAACTAGGGGCGTGGGGTAGGCCAGGCGGACCAAGAGACTACAAGACTAAGATGCAATTACAGGAGACTGATAGGTGCAAGTGCCAACCTGACACGGGTTCAGGCACTGGTGGGGCGACCCCTATGTAGTGAGCAGGAGGAAACCTCCGCAGGTCACGACGCACACCAGCAAAGGCCAAATCGAACAGCAATTACAGGAGAACAATGGAAACTGCTGTCGGTTGCGGCCAAACCGTTTTTCTTCCCATAAGGCCATGGGTCAAAACCCAAATCGTACCCCCAGTGAACATCCCAATCCAACCACTAAAATAGGTTCTAAAATGGGTGGTGCACCTACCCCACAATGGTACCATTGGTTTTGACCCACAGCCAATAAGATCATACGCACACCCACTCAAAAAGAATACAGTGAAGATGTTACCAGAATACCGCGAAGAGCAGGAAACTGGACGCGAGACAACGACCAGACCACAAGACGAGGACGTAAATGATTGTTTCTGACGCTCACCCCCACCTCCCCTCCCCCCTCACCCACACCCACCCCACCCACACCCACCACACCGAACCACCCCACACCCACACACTCACAGACCTCCAGCTCCACCACCCACCCCCCACACCCAGCCACCCACCTTACTCCCCACCCCCACCCCCCAAGCCGCTCCACGGCGAGCCGCAAAGTAGGCCACCTCCAGCGGCCCAGACAGCAGCGCCCGCTGCATGCCCCCCACGTCCCGGGGCCGCGCCGCTGCGAAGGCCTGACGCAGCTCGCTCGATAATGGACAGGATGGCATGGGACGGGACGGGAGGAGGGGGGTGGGGAGGCTTGGGAATTCAGTGGCCCACCTACAGCATAGAACATGCTACGGATGCGTTGTTTCTACTCTGCCTCCAGAAAATCATAAGGCAAATCACAACTCACAAGGACCAGACGAAGTCTTGGGAACTGAGCTTTGGAGTGGGTGTTGGGAGTTCAAGGCACCAAAGATAGGGCTTATGGGGAACGTCAAAAAAAAACGCTTTGCGCTGTGAACATGGAATTCTGGAATTGAGCCATTAAGTCCCAGTTTTGGAGATTTGGGCTTACAGGCTGGCTCCGGCGATTTGATCCCCTGCTTATGAGAGGGCCAGTCCAGTAGGCTGGAAAAGCGACGAGCCACAACAACCAGCGAAACGCTGGTTGCGAAATGGGTATGGCTCAAAAAACAGGGACCAAAATGGAACCCTGGAATGTGGAAAACATGGACCAAAACCTGTGTAACCCTAGCTCTTTAATTTTGAGCCACTGCCAAATGTCAAAAACCAACAGCGAAGCAACATCCAAAAGTGTGCTCGGGAGGAAAGTAGGAGACTCTCTTGCAGCGCCGCATTCCACGGTCTCAAGCCGTTTTTGGCCCTGCGCAGGGGCGTGTCAGTCCTTTAGGCGCGAAAGTGCTCCCGACTCTTCAAGCCCTAAAAACAGGCAAAGAACGAGTTGAGCATCCCATCCCCCCCCCCACCAGAACCGAATTGAATGCTCCGAACCGATTTTCACACTGGACGCGCGTGCACGAACTGCATACGTCCAGTGGCACGAAGATTCAGATTGCGACTTCCTGCAGCCAAAAGAGAACTGCCCTTTGATTAATTATATAGCTGTAACCCCGTTCGGAAGGGGGAAAGCCAGTCGAAGATCCATCGAACTACGGACTTGCTGAGTGTAAGACTCTGAGGTTGACAACCACCAACGGAGCCAAAGGCTGGGTGTCTCTCTCCGGCAACCAGGCCCGGGGGGTTGGGTTCTGTCTGAGGGGTTCCAAACCCGATAAAGACCAACCATCGGGTACCCCTCTTCCCCGGGATTTTACGGATTAGGTTTCGACACGTCCTCAACAAAGGGTGGACAAAAAGCCCTTGTGGGTCCCAAGCACCATTTGAGGATCATGGTTGAGGGAGAAGGGTCAAAGTACCTCAGGAGACTCATGAAAGCCACCAACAGGTGTCCAATTCGAATGCATAAAAGCCCGACCAGGCCTGAGACACCTTAAAGAACTCCATGGGCGAGCCGTCCTCACAATGACCCTCGCCTGGAAAGGTGCAATGTCGGGAACAATGCGGGATATAATTCCGGAAGCCCTCAACCCGTGCCCCCCCCCGGGAGAAAAACAAAACGAAAAGAGGGCTGATCTCCCTTGGGTTTCCCCGCAAAACATCTTGACCGGAGCTCGGCGCCCCGGTCAAGAAAAAAATCGATCCACGCTGCTCTCACGCTCCGCCCGGTGGTTTGGGGCTTCTCATGCACCATCTACAAAAGCCAGGGGTTCAATTCCCAAACCAGCAATCTAAACCACCAATTGGCGGAGAACCTGAGTGTTCTCCCAAACGTCAGCGGGCCCGAGCGAGAGCCTCCGCTCTTTTGAAATTCTGGGCCCCGCACAGATCTTGGCCGCCGTCGCCGCCGCCTCTTTCGCAGCACGGAAGGGCACGTAGGGCCTGTGCGTAAAAGGAGGGGCTCGCAGGCGCGGGCCCATGAAAACCGCGGGGAGAACTTGATAAAGTGGTCCGCCCCAAGACCAGTTACTTTGTCAATGTAAAAAGGGACGAAACCGGCCCTATGGCACCCCCTCCCCCTCCCCCCCCATTTTGCACAACCATGCACGCATCTCAACAGGGACGAGCATGCCAGGTGCCTGGCCTCTTTTCCCATCCGTAGTCACAGGATCGCTGGGTGGGCACTGGGCAATGCATGTAGGGCGCGCAAGACTCCTGCGAAGGACAGCTTAGCCCGCAGAAAACAATTACTTGGGGCGTCTCTCCAAATGTTGGAACCTTGATGTGTTTTGTGGCTTGCGGCTTACTCGGACTCTTCAAGGAAAAGCTAGCCTCGAATCCAAACATGCCCAGCTCAACAACCGAAAACCAGAACGAAAAAGGTCTACCCAAAAACCATGCGCAAAATTGAAATGAATGAGGCGGACAGCTTTGCACAACTATGCGAACATAGGGCAAAGAGAAGGCCCCCGCGCCCGGTCTGTGCATGTCGGTTTCTCCCGTCCTTTGGAAGGCCCTTGGTCTGCAGGAACCTGGGTTCTTTGGAAGGAAGCATGTTGCCAATTCGTGGCAAATAATTATCAGCGCCCCAAGAAGTGTTTAAAATATCAATAGATACATAATATTATATATCATGTGTCTATATATATAGTTGTATAAACTTCTAGACAATCAATATAGGTGGTTGTTGTCGTCTTCTTCTCAAACAAAATCTTCCCACTTCCCGCCGTTTCCGTCGATCCAAGGAGCCGCCAGGCGTCGTCCAGGCGACCGCCCCCACAGCCGTTGTTGGTCTTGTCGCACTGGACCAGCAGCTCCGGCGCCAAGGACAGGACCTCCAGATCCTCAAGGCGCCCCAAGGCCGGCGCGGCGACCCGCCGAAGGCGACCCGGTCGCCGTGTCACGTTAAGGATGGGTTGTCCTTGTTGCGGTTTCGGCCGCCTTCGTCTTGTTTTGTTTTTTCCTTTGGCTTCAGTTTGGATGGTTTTCCCTGCTTAAGCAAACAAAGTTGAGGTGATGAGGGCCAGGAACACTCTGGGATTCCTGTTACTTGTTCTTCTCTACTGCTCTGCTTCAAGCAAGGTTGAGTTGATGGCCTGTCTGTGCCGTATCTGAAAAGACCTAGCGAGGAAGCTCCACAGGTGTCCCTGAGATACAGCTGAGATTGAATCCCTTCAAACGAAAGGGATTCTGACTTTGGTAAGCACTAGGCGCTCTGTGACACACGATGACAACACCAAACTAACTGAAACCCCCGTTTTATTTGTGGCACCTTGGCTCCGGATGCCGTTGAAGATAAAGCAAAAACTTGATTGAAAAGAAGCCAAAAGTGAAAGCTTCCGAGTCCGATCCAAGATATAATCCAAGGTTTGGACATTCAACCGGAGAATTCCCCCCCTCCCCAATGACAACCGAGCAGGACACAGGCGAGGAACGCCGACCGTTTCACCGACTTCATGCGGAGTTGGGGATGACTCAGCTGCTTGAATGAGACTTACAATGTTTTCTGAAGGGACCATGATCATCTATAACCAGTGCATTGTGCGAGGGTCTTAGACAAGTGGAACTGTCAAGCATGGACAGCAACTCTTCGTCGACTTGGATCACTGTTTGATAAATTCCTGTTCACCATGAATATCAACATGATCACTCCCCAAGCCAGGATGTTTTGACCAACCTTATAGTGAGCTTCCGCTGATGTGGGAACAACTGCCATAGTCTTGACAGGGGACCCAAACAACTTCTGCTTGTTTTCTGGCTGGGACTCCCCCAACTCTTCAACGCGAGCTTTTCTTGTGGCTCAATTTGCCGCTCCACCCTCCCTCCGCGTGCCCCGAGCCTCCCCCAAGCCGAAGTCGGTGCCCGTCTTGGCCTTCTGCGTGTGGTTCATCATCTCAAACGCCACGCAGAAGCGGTCGGTCATGACCTGAGCTGGCCAGGACTTCTCACACGATCTCTGATCACTTGCCCCCCTTTTTGTATGTAAGCCGGGTGGCAGTTAGCATAAACGCCTGGGTAGTTCAACAAGAAGTCTGTCTCCAAGAAACGAATCCCGTTTCGGTTTGCAGGTTTCTCTGATATTGTCTCAGAAGTTGGAGACGGCAAAATACGGCCTTTCCCTTCGCCTCCCCCTTAAACCCTATCCATCCGTCGGCAAGCCGCGGTCGCAGCGGCCATGGCCCAACAAGAACCGCAGGACCCCTGGCACTGGCTGGGAATGCAACCGGGCGTTCCAATCCTGGCCTAGCCTCGGAGCCTCGAATCGCCTCCGGTCACGATTTGATTCAACCGGAACAAGCCAGGTACCTGACAGCCTCCACCCTGCCAGTGTCAGTCTGGATGAGCTACATGATGCACATTGAGGCTTTAGGTCGGGTCCGAGCAAGGTCATGCTTCGCGATTTGGCTCTTCCACATTGCGGATGCGAAAAGCACATGATGGTCCAATGGTGATCGGAACCAATTCGTATTTGTAAAATAGAACAAGGTTCCTTAAAGGATGCACCCGAAATCCACTTGCTTTAAAAGGGGTGTACTCTAAATCAGCAGGTAAATCTGCTTGTTTCGCTGGACATGTCCCCATCATAGGTGGCCTTTTGGAAAAATAGATGGGTTTCCCTGGTAAATGGAACAAAACCCATCTAAACCAGTAGAACCCATCTATTTTAACCAAACCCGAAATGGACGCCTATGGTCCCCATTCAGGGACCCTGAAAACCGTTTCCTTTTTTCTCCCCCTGCGGTCCACGGCCCCATGGGGCGCCTGGTTGCGGATGACGCCAATGGAGTTGCAGTTGGGCCACTCCGCGCGGGCATCGAAGGAGTCCGGCAGAGCCCTCCGCATGAAGCTGGGCTGGGGCCCCCTCGGCGAGGCTCACGGCTTTACCCGAAGGCGCCGGGAGAATGGAGCGGAGCCAAGTCAAAATTAAACCAATTGGGGACGGCAGGTTTTAGTCCAGGTTTTAGTTTAGACCAAATTGGCACCAAACGGTACATGGAACCAAAGACTATTTGCGTAACCCTAGCTCTTTAATTTTGAGACACACCCAATTGAGAGGATCCCAGGAACTCCATTTGAGCCATAGTCAAAACCCAGTATTCGACCCAAAACCATGCTTCAAGAATTAAGAAGGCGAATGTCCGCTGCTATTTATGGTTGGGAGTGTCCCGTACTAACCTTCATCTACCCGAGTTTTGATTGTCATTTGGAACTTTGGCCATTCCAAAGCTGGGTTGGGCAAAATGTGCTGAAACAACCAGCCATGGTCTCTTTTCACCGCAAACACTAGCCAATGAAGCCATGGTTCAAACCTCACTCGCACTGATGAAATAAGTTTTAACAACCAGCCCTTGGTCCCCTTGTTTGAACCACTGCAACCAAAAAAAAAACACGCAGCCGACTCCTTCTCCATCCGAGGCGCGCCAATGGCAGCTTCAAAGGTCCAATCTCAGTTCCCAGCGATGGGATGATCTCATGCACCTGGCTCAATTGGGTATGAGATCCATTGGGGAGCCTTTGGACATCAAATTTAGGTCCTCCAGAAGAGAGGTTAGAATAAGGGTACCAACTTTTTTTTCTGTAGTCTATTTTAGTAGGGGAACCCAAAACCCGAAAAAAGGGAGTAAAAGGGCTCTGCTGGGAAACCTAGTCATTTAGGTGCAAATATATGTCCACTTGGTCCACCAATCACCACCCCAGTCCGCTGGTATGAAGTTTAGACCGCACTTAGGTGTGGATTGTCCAATCATGTGGGGCATGTGCGTCTTGGAGGCTACCCGTTTCAACTCGGTTTAAAGGAACCACAAGGAAACCGTCATACCCAAATGGCAGGTGAATAACTGGGTAGTTTCCCTGTCCCTCCCAAATGAACCATAGACATAGACTGCAGGGAATAACTTTGACCAAACCTTAGGTACCTGTGTTGGTCACCCCATGTTGAGGTCGTCTAGGATTGGACATGACGGAGCAAGGCTAGGAATCTCGTCAAGTCTTGCCACAGCATGGCATTCTTGGGCTTGTTTAATTCCCCCCCCTCCAGTTTCCAACTTGGGGATAGTGACTACAATGGCTTGGTGGTAGTGGACGCCCTCTTATGCTTGGTTTCCACGGGGAACCAAAAACAGCAGACGCACAGAAGAGAGCCTTCACGCCCTTCCAGAAGTCATAGGGAGCTGCAGTCCAATGACCTCCCGCTTCACCGTTGATGCGGTTCAAGCGATCCTTCCCGTTCACGTCCTCATCCATCTCCGCGGAGCCCACGCTGCCCTGGGCCGCGCTTGACATCGTCTGCGGCTTTTTGGGGCCAGGCTGTGCCAACGAAAAGCAGGCTTTCCCACCCTCCACCCCCCCACCCCCCTCCACAAACATCTCCAACCCGCGACTGGCGTCCGCCTGCGTCAAGTTCACGCACTCCCCGCCGGTGACTCCGTAGGTCGCCTTCAGCGTCCGCAGGTCCGCCAGCCTGCGACGACGCATGCGAACGAGGCCATTTGGACGCCCCAAAACGACCCCCGTGGAACCCACCAGCCCGTCTGCCCGTCTGCCCGTCTTCCTCCGCGGAGCGGAAGCCAGCGCCGTCTCCTGCTTCGACTCGTAGAGGGTGAAGGTGTCATCCGCCGCCTCGGGAGATCGGGAGATGGGGCCAAGTCCCCAAGTCAGGCTCGTGTCTTGGGCGTGAGGGATTCCATTTGAGGGGAAACCCGGCAAACCGACCTGGCCACGGGGCATATCCTATTCTGGGCTGGATGAATCATCCATTTGCCACCTACTTTGATGTTCACCAGGGGTACGGGGTTTTGACCCACAGCACATCTCGGAACCCAAGTGGCTTGCAGCTGCATCGTTGTGTGAACTCCGGACAACAAGATGTTGCATGATGTTCCATGCGTTGGATTTCAGGGTCAAGTGAAGGGATTTGCAAGATGTCCGGTGCATGTCGCAAGCGTCGGCCGCAAACAATGTAACAATGCTTGCGTCCGAGCAACCAACAGCAAGCCTATGGCAGCATCTGTTGAGTTTGTAGCATTCGTAGTATTGGTCATGTTCGTCGCATTGGTCGAATTCGCCTCATCCTCACGGTGCCGACGATAGGTAAGCTGGTACCTCGGCTGACACTTGTACCTGAAGCAAACACCTCGCCATGTGAGCAACGGGCTTGAAACCTTGGCTTTTTTGCCCCTGGACTTCACAAATGCACCGCGTAGGGCATAGGCAACCTTGCCACTTACATGCTTCTACCCCCGAAAATTGCCAATTGCTTCCTTTTGGGCGTTCTGCAAATCCCAACATGGGCATGAGACGCTCCCACTCGGCCAGCGCGCAATGTCTTCGTAGCCAACAGCTCTCCCAGGTCGGTCACGCAGTACTCGAAGTTGGCACTCATAGTCGCCACGCCTACGGGGCGCGAAGGCCGTTGTGTCCAAAGAGGGGGCCCCCCAAACTGGTCTTCCGTTTCACCCTGGAAACCAAGAAAACAAGGAAACCTGCAACAAAGAACGAAAGACCAGTATTTAGCGGATTGCATCATCAGATTGGAGTGATCTGCCAAGAAGCCAACAGCTCCCCTTTTACTAGGGATTCATCACTTTTGGAGGCAACACCGCACTAATAGTGGGACGGGTTTATTAATCCTAGGTCAACATTAGTGCCCACCAAACTCGCCTCGGCCCGACATTTCTCCCATCACGGCTCGGAGCAGCTTGGAGGCATCTTCGTCCTGACGGTCGTTTGCCAAGACAGGGCACATGGAACCCCGAAAGGAGTTTCCTCTACGCGTCATGGCGTTTTGGGTGTCAAGTGGATCTGGTGTGTATATGTCATGTGTATATTTTTATGGATTCTTCGGAGTGGGCAACCCCGGCTTTTTGGAACAAACCCGTCTGAATGCACCTGAAATGCACGGAGAAAGAAAAATACCAAATAAAAGCTGCAATCCGCCCACCGGCCAAACAGGCTCAAATAAATGGAACAAAATGGCACCAAACGGTAAATGGAACCAAAGACTACTTTCGTAACCCTAGCCCTTTCGTTTTGAGCCACACCCATTTGGCTCGAGCAGCCGAGCTTCCTCTCCCCAGGAAGGCCACCAGTCCAGGCCCATTGGAGCAGCCGGGCCGACCGCCTCACGCGACTCCTTTTGCGCTTTCTCGCGACAGGCAAAGGGTCCGGCGCCAGCGCACCCTTCAAATGGGAGGATTTGATGGAGGTCTTCCGAAAATCTTCCTCCACTCTTTTGCTCATTCCAGCCTTCCCTCACTTGTGACACACCTGACTCCACCACGCCAACATCCCGCCTTACATGGCTAGATGGTGATTGCAGATTCAAAGCAACATCCGGACGCCAACACCCTCCCGAAAACTAGAGGACGATTGGCCCGAAAGCATTTTTCCCCAGGTGCTCATCCAGCCGCGGAGACACCTTTTTACATCGCTGCGGCGAGCGTGTCTGCTCGCGGCGATGCTCAATGTGTATGGTCACATGAGAGCTCCATCTCATCATCCTAGTTTCCTCTCGAACTGCGCCGCACGTTTTCTCACGAAAGTGGTCTGCGCAAGCTGCATTGTTCCAGGCTGCTGCGCGCAAGTTGCTCTCTGCAAGCTGCTGCACGCAAGTGCTCTGTGCAAGTTGCTCTGCGCAAGTGCTCTGAGCAAGTTGCTCTGCGCAAGTGCTCTGCGCCAGTTGCTCCGTGCAAGCGCGTTGCGCATGTGCTCTGTGCAAGTTGGTCTGTGCAAGTTGCTCTGCGCCAGTTGCTCCGTGCAAGCGCTTTGCGCAAGTGCTCTGCGCAGGTTGCTCTGCGCAAGTGCTCTGAGCAAGTTGCTCTGCGCAAGGGCTCTGCGCCAGTTGCTCCGTGAAAGCGCTTTGCGCATGTGCTCTGTGTAAGTTGGTCTGTGCAAGTTGCTCTGCGCAAGTGCTTTGTGCAATTGTGTGCAAGTTGCTCTGCGCAAGTTGCTGTGCGCAAGTGCTCTGAGCAAGTTCCTCTGCGCAAGTGCTCTGCGCCAGTTGCTCTATTTTTGTACTTAAAAGTTGTGATTTTCCAGCCGGAGCTGCGGGAGCACGCTCCGCATACTACGTCTGTACTTAAAAGTTGCGATTTTCCAGCCGGAGCTGCAGGAGCACGCTCCGCGTACTACGTTTGTACTTAAAAGCTGCGATTTTCAAGCCGGAGCTGCCACGGACCAGGGGGGAATCGAACCCGCGACCGCGGGATTGCGAAAGCAGGCGTGCGAGCCACGAGACAACTTCCAAAGGCCATTTCGCGAGCAACAAATACGCACGGCGCCACAGCGAGAGCGCTTCGACACGCACGATCCCCGCAGAGGGTCGCGCGCGGCTTGCAGAAATCGTAAAAAGTCCTCAGTTTTTGAACCTCGACCACGCAGAGGGTCGCGCGCGGCTTGCAGAAATCGTAAAAAGTCCTCAGTTTTTGAACCTCGAGCACGCGAATCTCCGCAGAGGGTCGCGCGCGGCTTGCAGAAATCGTAAAAGCCCTCAGTTTTTGAGCCTCGACCACGCGAATCTCCGCAGAGGGTCGCGCGCGCGCCGCAGAAATCGTAAAAAGTCCTCAGTTTTTGAACCTCGACCGCGCAAATCTCCGCAGCACCGCAGAAATCGTAAAAAGTCCTCAGTTTTTTTAACCTCGACCATGCGGATCTCCGCAGAGGGTCGCAATCCCGAGCGACGATCAAACTCCCGCCCTGGCGCCTTAGAAACCTAAACTAACTTACATAGCTGCTTACGCCGAAGCTCTACGCAAGCTCTACCTAACCTTGGCTCTGTGCCACCTGGCTCTGTGTCACTTGGCTCTGTGCCACTTGGCTCTATGCAACTTGGCTCTATGTAACTTGGCTCTATGTAACTAAGCCCTATGTAACTTGGCTCTATGTAACTTGGCTCTATGTAACTTGGCTCTATGTAACTTGGCTCTATGTCACTTGGCTCTATGTAACTTGGCTCTATGTAACTTGGATCTGTGCAACTTGGCTCTGTGCAAACTTGGCTCTATGTAACTTGGCTCTATGTAACTTGGCTCTGTGCCACTTGGCTCTATGTAACTTGGCTCTACGTAACTTGGCTCTATGTAACTTGGCTCTATGTAACTTGGCTCTATGTCACTTGGCTCTATGTCACTTGGCTCTATGTAAAACTTGGCTCTATGTAGCTTGGCTCTATGTAACTTGGCTCTATGTAACTTGGCTCTATGTAACTTGGCTCTATGTAACTTGGCTCTATGTAACTTAGCTCTGTGTAACTTGCCCAAGGGCTCCGCACGGAAGAACCCTTCGCGATGCTTTCGGGAACAAGCCACTAGCAACCGGCTCCTGCCCGAGTCAGACACAAAAATCGCTATGTCGTGAAAGCGTATGTTTCTGCAAAGCAGGCTCGTGTAACTTAGCTCTGCGCAAGATGGCTCTGCGCAACTTGGCGCGCTGCTACCTGGCGCGCGCAAGCTACTTTACGCGAGTGGCTCTGCGCAACTTGGCTCTGTGAAGCGTGCTGCTCAGCGCAATGCGCTTTGCTCAAGTTGCGCTGCACGATTTCTCACGAAAGTGGTCTCAAGCTGCGTTGTTCCAGGCAGCTGCACGCAAGTGCTCTGTGCAAGTTGCTCTGCGCAAGTGCTCTGAGCAAGTTGCTCTGCGCAAGTGCTCTGAGCAAGTTGCTCTGCGCAAGTGCTCTGCGCCAGTTGCTCCGCGCAAGCGCGTTGCGCATGTGCTCTGTGCAAGTTGGTCTGTGCAAGTTGCTCTAGCCACGAGACAACTTCCAAAGGCCATTTCGCGAGCAACAAATACGCACGGCGCCACAGCGAGAGCGCTTCGACACGCACGATCCCCGCAGAGGGTTGCGCGCGGCTTGCAGAAATCGTAAAAAGTCCCCAGTTTTTGAACCTCGACCACGCGAATCTCCGCAGAGGGTCACGCGCGGCTTGCAGAAATCGTAAAAAGTCCTCAGTTTTTGAACCTCGACCACGTCGCGCGCGGCTTGCAGAAATTGTAAAAAGTCCTCAGTTTTTGAACCTCGACCACGCGAATCTCCGCAGAGGGTCGCGCGCGGCTTGCAGAAATCGTAAAAGCCCTCAGTTTTTGAGCCTCGACCACGCGAATCTCCGCAGAGGGTCGCGCGCGCGCCGCAGAAATCGTAAAAAGTCCTCAGTTTTTGAACCTCGACCGCGCAAATCTCCGCAGCACCGAAGAAATCGTAAAAAGTCCTCAGTTTTTGAACCTCGACCCCGCGAATCTCCGCGGAGGGTCGCGCGCGCACCGCAGAAATCGTAAAAAGTCCTCAGTTTTTGAACCTCGACCACGCGAATCTCCGCAGAGAGTCGCGCGCGCACCGCAGAAATCGTAAAAAGTCCTCAGTTTTTGAACCTCGACCACGCGAATCTCCGCAGAGGGTCGCGCGCGGCCAGCAGAAATCGTAAAAAGTCCTCAGTTTCTGAACCTCGACCACGCGAATCTCCGCAGAGGGTCGCGCGCGGACCGCAGAAATCGTAAAAAGTCCTCAGTTTTTTTGACCTCGACCACGCGGATCTCCGCAGAGGGTCGCAATCCCGAGCGACGATCAAACTCCCGCCCCGGCGCCTTAGAAACGTAAACTAACTTACATAGCTGCTAACGCCGAAGCTCTACGCAAGCTCTACCTAACCTTGGCTCTGTGCCACCTGGCTCTGTGTCACTCTGTGTGCCACTTGGCTCTATGTAACTTGGCTCTATGTAACTTGGCTCTATGTAACTTGGCTCTATGTAACTTGGCTCTATGTAACTTGGCTCTATGTAACTTGGCTCTATGTAACTTGGCTCTATGTAACTTGGCTCTATGTAACTTGGCTCTATGTAACTTGGCTCTATGTAACTTGGCTCTATGTAACTTGGCTCTATGTAACTTGGCTCTATGTAACTTGGCTCTATGTAACTTGGCTCTATGTAACTTGGCTCTATGTAACTTGGCTCTATGTAACTTGGCTCTATGTAACTTGGCTCTATGTAACTTGGCTCTATGTAACTTGGCTCTATGTAACTTGGCTCTATGTAACTTGGCTCTATGTAACTTGGCTCTATGTAACTTGGCTCTATGTAACTTGGCTCTATGTAACTTGGCTCTATGTAACTTGGCTCTATGTAACTTGGCTCTATGTAACTTGGCTCTATGTAACTTGGCTCTATGTAACTTGGCTCTATGTAACTTGGCTCTATGTAACTTGGCTCTATGTAACTTGGCTCTATGTAACTTGGCTCTATGTAACTTGGCTCTATGTAACTTGGCTCTATGTAACTTGGCTCTATGTAACTTGGCTCTATGTAACTTGGCTCTATGTAACTTGGCTCTATGTAACTTGGCTCTATGTAACTTGGCTCTATGTAACTTGGCTCTATGTAACTTGGCTCTATGTAACTTGGCTCTATGTAACTTGGCTCTATGTAACTTGGCTCTATGTAACTTGGCTCTATGTAACTTGGCTCTATTGTAACTTGGCTCTATGTAACTTGGCTCTATGTAACTTGGCTCTATGTACCTTGGCTCTATGTAGCTTGGCTCTGTGTAACTTGTCCAAGGGCTCCGCACGGAAGAACACTTCGCGATACTTTCGGGAAAAAAGCAAACATCCGGATATCGCCTGCAGCATCTCCAGTAGATTCATGGACCGGGACTCGTTCACCAACCACGGCGTGCAGTTGAGCCCCGCGACGCTCTTCTTGCCTTGTGAAGCGCGAGGCAAGCGACGGCATGAAGAACAATTCAGGGTCGCAAGAATGTGGGTGTGGCTCGCTTTTTGAGGCTCGAACACCCTTTTGCGGGTTGCCTGTGGGGTCCAAAAACAAGCCAAACATCTTAGCATAGCTTTCAACAGGTTCTAGCAGCATGGCTTATCCAGGAAACCAGACTGTCAACCCCCCCTTGGGGTTTCTGAGTAATTTGCACCTCCGAACCTCAGTTGCCAGGTTTTGGGCGCGATATGGCGACTCCTGCCTTCTCCGAGCTTGGCGACCTCATACATCTGCAACGGGACCTCGAAAATGTCGCTCCTCAGTTGTGCCCGGAATGAACATCCGGCGTGTCGAAACCAGTACGCCTAGAAATCTGAAAAGGGAAAGCAAAGGGACCTGGGGGCAAGCAAAAGGGAAACCAAGCATGAGAGTCCCTGGGTGACAATCCCACATGTTTGAATTCGCACTGCTGCCATCTTCTTGCATTCCAGCTTCATGGCAGAAAGGAACATGAAGTGCTGCATTTCGCGCTTGGAGATTTCGAGCTCGGTCGTGTTGCCCGAACTGCTGGAGCCGTTGGAAGCGTTGCTGTCATTGACATCCAGTCCGTCACTGCCACGGGAAGCAAAGCCCGCCGCAGCCAGCCTCTCTGAGTGCTTCAGCAAACGCTTCCATTGCTTGCCGATGGGCATCCCAGCCATCCCCTGGGGGAACATGTCCTGAGATCGGAGTGAGCATATCACCAAGCTGGGCACTTGACAACTTGTCTCTTTCTCCGAAAAATGCCAAGTGCCCATCCGCGAGGAGAGCAAATGCATGAGTCCTACCCGGGCAGGGGTGCTTTAAGGCACTTTTCAAGCGAGGCGCGAAAGTGAAGCACACCGTCTCATCGAAGAAATGCTGATGATAGTGCCTCCGTTGCGCGACATGCAACGACAACTTCAACGAATCCAAACACGCCGCTGGGCCGCGGAAGCAACGCGGGTTGCTCTCTCACTCGGCACGAATCCCTGCCGACTTCGACTCGGGTCCATCTTGCTTCTTTTCTAGCCTCATCTCGCCAAAGTTTCCTCTGGCAGGTTTGAGAAGCTCACCAGCAGATTTTCCAGCAACTTCATGTCGGAAGAGTCCTCGATGGCAGATTCGAAGGCCTCCTCCTCGAAGTCCTTTAAGAAGTTGAAAAAAAGATTGCCCCCGTCTCGAATGAAATGGCCGCTCTCCACGCCGCAAGAGAAGAAGTGCTTGTCCTCCTCATCTGAAAAAAGGACCTTGTACGCCCTGTCACTTTCGAGGAAGCCATCCACCATGACGCCGCACACATGTCCGAACATGAAATGATAATAATTATCCTCTGGCTCCTTCACCTCTTTCACCCACTTCTTCACTTTTGGCAATTTCACCCACTTTTTCGCCTCGTTCCTGAGAAGTACATAGCCTCGCCCCAGATCTTCCGGCTTCAGCTTTCCATCCGTCAGCTGCTGGCACATCCAAACGGCCTCCGCTATGGCATCTTTCTCTGGCTTGGCCTTGGCCTTGGCTTTTGCTTTGCCCTTCGGCGAACCGCTGACCTTCATGGCCTTCGTGGCCTTCGTGGCCTTGGCCTTTGCGGCCTTGGCCGTTAAGCTCGAACTGGAACTTGGCCTCTTCATCCGCAAACTGGACGAACTCGGCTTCTTCATCCAACGAACTTGGCGTCAGCAAGGGTGCGCGCTTTTGGGAGATGAGCGAAAATGGCTACGGTTGAGCCTTCCACATGAAGAGCACGGAAACCTCTCCAATCACAAAGCAGGATGGTCTGTTTGACCCTCCCACCACCTTTTTGGAAGTTTGGGCTGACACTTTTTGGGGGGCCGTCCATATGTCCCAGCTCATCCAAACAAGTTGCGGCCATCAGTTCCAAGTATGCAAGGAAGCTATGCATGGTATGCAGGACAGGTCAGTTATGCATGATACGTTTGATATGTACCCTACGTGCGTAATTGGATAGCATGTTTTATGTTGCGTGTGTGATGCATGCTATGAATGTGATGTATGTAACTTATGCAACCAGTAGGATATGTAGCCTGTGTGCAATTGGACACAGGCTGCAGCTTCAGCACAGACACGCATGGCCATATGACAAGGTGTGATTTCACCCTCGCCTGAGTCATAATCAAACAGAGACTCCCTCCGGCCTCAAGGCCAAACCCACGTCCATGAGCATGCGCTCGCTCGACGCGTTGGACGTGTTGGACGCGTTGGACGCGCTCAGGTCCTGCAGGAAAAATAGAGTGAGTCCACATCACCTCAGATTCCAGGGGTCCACCCCAAAACCCAGACCGGTGGCACAAAAACTTTCCTATGCCTGGGACTGTGCCCTACTTTCCTCTCATTCCCTGAGGTGGCCAAGGAGAGTCAGCACACTTGAGTGGATTGGCCAAAAAACGGCCCAAACTGTTTCTTGGCTCAGCTCAAGCGAAGTCTCCAATCAGTTTTCCCGCTCTAAGCGCTCCTTGATCTTCCAGGACCCTATCTTTTGCTTTGCAAATGGGTCACCAACACCGCTTCCGAAGCAACCCTGACCCCTGACACCTCCTCTCCAGACTTGGCCTATGTTGCGCAACTCCCTTCGACCAATTCGAAGCACCGCCTTACCCCCATATACCCCTTGTGCTTGACACGGGTTGTTTTTTTTCCACCACCTTCTTCAGTCCGGGTCAGTCCGAAAGTTGCCACAAGCCTCGAAGTGTGGGCCACCCTCCCCCAGGCGATTCCGTGGAAGCAAAACTTGGTTTAAAAAAAGGAACTTGGCTTAAACAAATAATAAAACAAACACTTCACAGGATGGATGGGCCATTCCCGGGGAGCTTTTCGTCTGAGTGGTGCCGTCAACAGCTCCCCGAGGCAGAAGGACCCATCTAGAAACAAACAAATTTGGGCCTGATAGGCTTCTTCACGTGTCCCATCTTTGACATCAGCCCTTTGTATGGTAGCAAAGGGTTCCATCTTTTGACAACCCCGAAGTGGACTTAAACCCAGGGGTGGGTGATTTCCCTAAAAGGCAAACCCCTGGGTTTAAGTCCTTGGGGTAGTCAAAAAACGGAACCCTGTGGTAGCAAACAACTGACGGTTTTGTTCCAGCCCCGATCGATCCCCGCCTCCACCGCCAGCAGCTGCGCCTTCTCGTCCGCCGCCAGGTGCAGCAGCTGGCTCCCCGAGCGCAGCAGCGCCTCAAAGCTCAGCAGCAGCGCCGGCCGCGGGGCGAGCCTCGGCTGGGAAGGTGAGGTGAGGTCCCAGGGGTGGTGGTGAGGTGAGGTGGTGAGGTGGTGAGGTGAGGTGGTGTGGTGGTGAGGTGGTGGTGTGGTGAGGTGGTGAGGTGAGGTGGTGATGTGGTGATGTGGTGATGTGGTGATGTGGTGATGTGGTGAGGTGGTGAGGTGGTGAGGTGGTGAGGTGGTGAGGTGGTGAGGTGGTGAGGTGGGGGTGGTCAGGTTCCCTTTTGATTACGTGCAACAAAACTTCACCTTGGCGCAGCGTGATGTACTGAGGCAAGCAGCTTCTTTTCCGTAGAATTGCCACGAGTACGCACAGCCAATCCTGCAGGCAGCTTATCAGTCGCAAGACTCACGGTCACAAAAAAACATAGGTGCATTGTGTGGCGCAATCTCTGTCCTGTGCTGCACAGAACAGCACAAACCAGACCGAATCCCCAGGTCGTTCGCATAACGAGCGCGCAGTCTGGGGTAAGGATCAGAAAGCTTGAAGTGTTGGTGAGGTTGCTTGAGCCAAAGCAGCAAATGAAGCAGATGCAATGATGTTCAAAGGACCGCGTCATGGCCATAGCGTTGCTTCTAGCCCTTCTCTGCAAACTCAGCAGAAACTCAGTGCGCCGGCCACCGCATCGTTGTTGACGCTCATACCAAACCTCAAGACCAATCGCTGGCTCCCTTGCGGTGTTCCTTTTATCCCCCCCAAAACAAAAACACAAAGAGAACAAGAAAACAAATATGCTCCATTGGGGGTGTCCTTTCAACCAACCCTCCCAAAAGAATGGGAGAGCCCATGCCTTAAATCAATGGCCACAGCGCCGAGCCGAGTCGAGCCGAGTCGGGCTCAGTCGGCTGGCAGCGGGATGCATCCGAGCCGCTCCTCCAGGAGGTAGTTCACATTGGTGTTACTCTTTCCTGCCCCGGCAGGGACCCTTCGAAGCGCCGTCTGAACAAGACGGACATGTACCCAAGGCGGGCTTAAACAGAGGTATCTTGTAAGTCTTCCTGGTCCTTCCCAAAGGGAAACATCGAACCACGGAACTCCAACTTCGGCGTGGCATCAGCAACCCGTCGCGCGAGCCGCGAGCCTTCGCCACCCTCTCCCACAAGGAAAAGGATGCTGCCTCCCTCACTGAGGTAGTCCTGCGAGGCTGCACTCAGCACAAATCACCACCGAGGGAAACCCACCATAAATGGGCCAAAAGGGTGTTTAAAACCTCTCCAAGAACCTCTCCACAGGAAAAGTGCATTCCCAGGTCGTCACATGACTCACTCTCGGCTCGGGATATGATTACAATCCATTCATTAAAGGAGTCCCGCCAACTAAGGCAACCCGCAGCCACCTTCTCGGACCCCTTCGAGCGTGTCAAATTTTTTAGGGCTGGTCCCACGGTGGTTTTTTTTTGCGGTGGACATGTTGGTCTCGTACCGTGTTGGTCTCGTACCGCATGCCTTTCCCACATGTACCAGCAAGAATCCTGAACATCTTGACCGAACCTCGCATAACCGCATTGATGCTCCTCTGAGGCTGAAATCGACTCAAGAGCCTTGCCATCTATGGACCTGGCTATGGCTCCTCTGGAGTTGGCATACTGCGGGGTTAGTTCGAAAGGGAAATCCTGGGCACTAAAGTGGTGTGGGCATGTTTTGTAAGGGTCGTCTTTTTGCCTCCAAAAAGGGGGGGGTCCCTATTTTTTGACACATACCCATGTGACACACGTTGGCATGTTCTTGAATTGGGACGTTTTGATGTCCCCAAAGCTCATAGCCACATAGCCATGTGGGGTGTCTTGAAATGGAACCCGCAAAAAATGTGGCCTTCCTTTTAGTCTCCCCTAAAAGCCAACCAAAAAGGGGGTCGTCGCCCCCCAAAAAAAGACGAAGACCTGCAATACCCTCCCACTAACGTGAACCTTCACGTTTGGGGAATCGGTCCCCCCTTTTGGGACCTGACAACGTCAGGTGGGGTTCCGCGGAGTGCGAGTCCTTGATGGCCGTGAACTCGTCGCTCGAGAACATCTCCCTGGGCCCTGCAAAGATCACCAGGTTCGCGGCTCTCAGCCTGGCCCAGCGTCTCGGAGTCCCAGCAGGCTTTGTCTCTTGAAGGCGAAACCCTGTTTTGCCAAGCAAAAACCCCTTCCCAAAGATGCTAGCCTCAAAAGCACGCCACACACCAAACGTTCCCTCAAGCTATCAGACTCGCAAAAAACGGGTCTCCTCTTTTGGCTTGCCTTCCGGGGCGTTCCGAAGACCCCGGGCTGTAAGGGGGCCCCGCTAGAAAGAGCAAACTGATCGTGAGGGAGACCTATTTGGAAAAACCGGCGAGCTGGAAGGATCTTTGAAAAAAATGTCCATGGAAGCTCAGCTGTTTAAGCCATTCGGAAGACAGCCGGCCGCAAATATCATCGTCTTTCCAACGGCCCCAACAGGCTCTCAAATTCACTTTGAAAGCTCCCAGGACCCGATTGAGACTTGGTCCTTTTCATGTACGGAGGTCTTCTGGGAGCAACCGATGCCAGTCTCAGGGAGTGCAAGCTGTGTCCGACCAGCGACAACCTTGGAGAAATCACATAATTATATATATATATATATTTATTTTTACATACATATATGTGTAATTATATACATAGAGATGTAAATATGCTTTGGCACGGAGCTCGCGTCTCACGGCGCCTCTCTAAGTTGATGATGTCCTTGTTGGTGGACACCTGCCACACGCAACCCCACGTGGATGACACGTCCGCGCAGCTCCCAGCCTTGAAGTCTTGCTTGACCCTTCGGTGCAGCTTCTTGTAGTTGTTGGAGGGGTTGCCCTCCAACGGCCAGCTGCGAAAAAAAAAAAAAAAAAAAAAAAAGAAAAAAAAAACCATGCCTCTCGACAACCCATAATCCCGGTATCCCCTTAAAGGAAGTCTCAAATCCGAGGTATGTTGGAAAATGTTGGAAGAGCTAAGATCGAAACCAGCTGGCCCTAAACTTCGCTGGCACAAGCCGAGGGCATGCCTGCTCCTTCTTGGACATGTCGAACATGACCTCCATGTCCGCTGCATTTCGGCCCTCGCGACGGCAAAAGTTGGCCTGATTTGTTGGAACCCATCTCAGTGCCCTGATGTGCGGCCTTTTGGGTATGGGTCGAAACAAGCACTACAGCCAGGTGCATCCCTGGCCTGGTGCGTTGCCTGCGTGCTTTCTTGAGCCCGTCGCTTAGGCCAAGATGAGGTCTTTTCCTTTTGGATCTTTCAAACCCGACCCCAGAAATGGCATCCACACTTTTCACCATGTGCTACTCTCCCCCAAAACACCTGCCGTCTCGGACCATTTGGCAACGCGCCTCGCCCCCCATGGCTGGCATGCCTTGCACGGAGTGGAACACGTGAGGGAGGAGTCTCAAAGTATCTACAAATGTTACAGTATAATAACCGGCAAGGAGAACACGGAAAGTGCGATACCGCACCAGCCAGGAAAACACTGAAAGTGGGCATTGGCGCCCGCACCTAGTAGCTGCCCCATTTGCCATGGTCCATTCAAATTGAAAAGGGTGCCCTCAAAAGAAGCCACACCTCGGCTGCGCTCAAAATGGAAGCCCGCCATTGAGCTAAGTTTGAGAGAAACGTGTCCCGATTCCATAGTCGAACCCTCAAGTGGCAGGCCTCAGAGTCAAAAGTTTCAGACGTATGGGCCCAGATCCAAAATTCAGCAACCGAACAAAAAGAAAAAGAAGAAAAAACACCGGCCCGCCTATTTTCCTTGAAGCGCTCCAGGCGCTCCAGTTCGAGCCGAAAGGCGGTCCAAATGAGTTTTGGGATCTGGATCACTGGGACACACACACACACACACACTCTTAGACTCCTGCCTAACTCCAGGTTAGGATGGCCGAGGTCTCAGAACTCCAACGCGTCTGGGTCAGAATCAACACCTCAAAGATCAACCCCGCGTCTGATGGCAAGAGTCATTAGATCGGAAGGAAATCACCTCCACCACCACCACCCAAAGAAGTTCTTGAAACCTTCTCAGGGGCTCTGAAAGGGTTCTGAGAACTGTATGCCAACATGTTTCTGAACAGAGCGGATGGCGAGCAGGCTTTTAGGACCCTTTTGGTTCCATTTACAGAGGCCTTCTGGGAGCTTCCATGATCGTCTGAGGGAGTGTCAGCTTCATCTGAGGGGTCAAGCAGGCAAACGTCACCTGCCGGCGCGCTGGAGTGGGCGCATCGGCCTGGCGTCAAGCTGACTAAAGCCCCGAGTTGGTCACTCATTCAATGTCTTTGTTATGTGTTGCATGCGGTTCATATTTTTTTGGCCGCGGTTTTTGGCTTCTGGACCCCATTTCCCAGGCCAAACAAGTGCTTTCGCGTGAATCTGAGGGCCCGCCTCCCTTTATCGGTTTCTCCGCCTCAAAAACGGGTACTTCCAAAAGGCCCACTGCGGGCCTGGTCTCCAATTGGGGACAATTTGGCGGACATGATTCGCCAATCATTTCTGATGGTGTCCCCAACCATTCAAATTCACATTTCTTCGGAAACTGCTCAAAGCCCTGCTTCACTTTGTAAGACTGGGGGACTGGTCTCAAGAAGCCAAAACGACACCGTTTCACGGTTGACACATTTTCAAGGTTGCCCCGGTTGGATGGGGGTTAGGCAGGGCCCAAAGAAGGTGTGCCCCCACCCCCGCCCCCCCCTTCGGTGGACATTTCATCTGTTGGGGGAAAAGTGTTTCTCAGAATGAGTTGGACCCCTCCAGCCAGTTTGTTGGCTCTCTTTTGGGTGTTTCGAAAAAGATCCATCCAAACAGGACTTCGCCCATTTTGACAAATGAGCCAAAGCAAACCGAAATCGTTTCGGAGCCAGGCTCAACATATTCTACCCTGGAAACTCAGTTATCGGCCTGTGAGAGGAAATATGATGCTGAAGGGCTGAGGGAATCACCAGGAAACCAGCCATTTTGGGTGTCCCCGAATGGGACACCAGCCCCACAAAAGATGCTCTCTCTCTCAAAAAAAAAAAAAACATCTCTGAACTCTGGCTCCCATCCAGGTGGGTTCCTTCGGATGCCTCTTAGAACCATCCAAGGAGTCTTCTTTTTCCCACGGCATCTCAAAAAGGATTGGGCCTGGGGAGCCAGATAATACCTCAAGCTGCTGCGGTACCATCGAGGTGAGAGATTCCCAGTTTAGGGTTTAGGTTGTAGGGTTTAGGAAGTAGGGTTGTTTGGGGTGTAGGGTTTCGGGTTTAAGCCAAGACTGGTACCCTCCCAAGACTGATCTTCGCCCCAAATTGGCCCTTCGAACAAAGGCGGAGATCCCTGTTCGGAGGTCTGAAGACACCAAAAAACCATCAGACGCACGGGTTCGCCTCAAAATCAGGGACTCGAATCAAAAAACGGTCGGCTTCCTCTGGAGGGTACCCTTGAGACTGGTTTAAAGGGAAACCAACAGCAGGATCCAACCTCAAACAAGACAGGCAAGGGACCAGAATCCCAAGCCAGGCGAGCTTTTCAGAAGATTGATTGCATCTTGATTCTCCAATTCAGGTTTTTCCTCAAGGGTTAAGGGTTTAGGGTGGGTTCGCCCTCACGGGGGGGGGGGGGGAGTCTGGAGCGCTCCTGTCTTATGGCTGTGGGTCAGAAATAGGTGCCCATCTGGGGAAACCTGGCAGATGGAAACATGGACGAAAACCTGCAGTCGCCTGGTGGTTGAATTTTGACCCACACCCATATGGCCATGGGCCAAAATCCCGTACCCCCAGTGAACATCCCAATCCCCTGCCCCAAAATGGGATCCCATTGGTGTTGACCCACGGCCATATGGGGTTTAGGGCTCGCCTTTAACTTGAACTCCAACCCAGACTCCTCGAAAAGCCGCCCTAACACCAAACCAGACGCAAAAACAAACCAGACCAGGACCAACCCAGAGGTCAGACGTCAGACCCAAACCCGAGCTGGAGGAGAGCTGCCTTTGGCGCCAGCCAGGCGCAGGATCTGAGGGCCAGCAGCCCCAGCGCCGCCTTGGTCTCGCCCTTCGTTGGGGAGTTGGTTTTCAGGCAATCCCCTGGATTTGAAAAAGGGGCTTGGGAATTGAGGGTTTTGGGAGAAGCCCCCTCACTAGACATCATATTTCATATCGTACCCGCATGGGAGTGTCTGAAACTAGATGCGTATGGTTTCGATGTAACACCGCCCCAAGAAAGGTCCACTCAGAAAAAGACAGATAGTTGCTTCTTGGGTCTCGTATTGAAGTGGTCCTGGCTTGGGTTGTCACATAATGTTGGATGAGTGTTCAGATTTTGGAGGCTTCCCTACAAACGTTCTTAGTTTCCCTAGAATAGTTTGGTGTACACGTGGAATGCAAAATCCGCTTTGGTCGATGCTCGGGGGTTGGAAGAAAGTGGCAGGACTGATCAAGCCATTGAGCCTGGGTTGGGTTTGGGCTGCTTTGGGTTCTTGTTGGGATGGCTCCACGGTGAAAGAAGGATTACTGGGGGGCTGGTGGAGTGTACGTTGAGCCTAGATTTGTGGTGCGGAGTGGCTTCGGGTATGCGCAAGAGTAGGTCTGGCAAAAGCATCCTAACACTACCTGGTTATCTACTATTCTGGGGGTAGCTTCCCCATTCTTTCCAGGGATCCTCCTTTCTAGAAAACCACCAAAAACCCTGGGGAAACGGATCCAGTTTTTGAAAAGAACGATGGCTGAAAAGAATGGGAAATCAACCCCTAGAACCGTGGTGGCTGGCCCGCCCGGGAGAGGCGGTCACTGGGCTGGAGGTCAATAGATCTGTCTCAGGCTTGTTTTGGCGTCAACTGAAAGTTCATCTTCCATTTGCTTAAGCCCCTGGAAAGAAAAATAAACAGATTTCCAATAGTGTTAAATTCCTTTTAACACCAACAGGGCAAAAAAAAAGTCTTAAGCAAATGGAAGTCATTGAGGCAGGTTTCTACTTGGGTTTGGGACTGCTAGTCTCATCCGAGGGTGAATTCAGTGGCTAGGGCGCTGTGACGGTGGGCGCAACGAACAACAATGGCGGCAGCAGCAGCCGCGTTTGGGGTGCGTCTACCCTGGTAGAAAGGGTGAGCCATGTTGAACTGGCGCCGTTTCCGCCCCCCGGCTCCTCGCAGTCATGTCCCTTGTTTCTTTTGGGAAGCAGCTGCATACATGTTTCGGGGGCTGCAATGTGCTTTGTCCAGCACAGTAGCTCCAACCCTGCAACATATATTACCGGTGAATGGCGGCAAAAAACCTCTCTCATAGCCCTATATGTGGGTGTGTCTCTTTTATGACACCCCCAAAAACATAGTGTTCCTTCTGGTTTCCCTTTAAAACCAATCCAAAGAGGGTACCCTCAAAAAAGACACACCATATCACACCATGACGCAACCATATTAGGGCAACAGTCCAACGCATGAAGAGTCCCTTGAGCCCGGTCGGTGCAAATTTCTCATGCGAGCGGCCCAGGCCAGTCGCAGGCGTCGAACCATCGGCCGCGAAATGGGCGGCGCTGGCTGAGCCGACTTCGAGCTGATGAGGGGTGGGTGTCGCTATGTCGGGCACGCGCCTCGTGATTTGCCGGACCGGAGCGGCGACATCGAGCATCCACGTGTCAAGCAAGCAAGCACTTCGAGAACAAGAAACGCAAGAGAACACGCCGAGGAGGAACATGCAGTCGCACCCATCTGTCGGCAAGAGCTCAAGCAGCTCTCTTTTTATTCCGAAGCCTCTGGGGTTCCGCCAGACGACAACATTTCCAATAAGAGTCAAAGTCTCTGATCCCGCCCGCGAGACCTTGCACAACGCACCCAGCGCAACACACAAAAAAACGATCAGGTAGCATAGGTACACACTACCAGTGCCAAACAAGTAATTTATACATTGTCAAAGCCCGAAAGCACTGGCGAAGCGGCATCCTGGGCATCAAAAAGCTCAGATCTCTACAGTTAAACATTTCAATCCATCACCAATCCGCACCTGATCGATCCGCACGAACCATCGAGGCGCAGAGCAAGCTTCATGTTCTTCAGCGAGCGCTGGTGCTGGATTCCTCATATGAGCTAGTCAAGAAAGGCCGTTGCCCCAAGAAGTGGAATAGTGCGACCAAGCCTCAAATGGCCTTAACCACTCATTCCTCAAAACCCAAACTTGCCAAACTGAAGTGTGACACCTCAGACGGCCTTAAGCTTGCTGGTGCTCGGTGAGGATCGACCTAAGGTTTTGGGAATGAACCTGGAGATTCCCTGGAAGGAAACCATACAGGATCTCATTCCCTGCCCATCGAACCAGCGTCCAAATCCTGGTGGTTTCAACAATATATTTTTGGGGTGACCCTGTCATTTCCTCCCCTGCGTGGCACCACAAAATGGGCCAGCATCCTCCGTGCCCGGGTCCCCGGGTCCCCGGGTCCGTTTCGTGCTCCCATCGCGCCTAGCGGATCCGCGGGGAGGGCGGCGCGCGGCCCACGGCGATGTCCAACATCTCGCCCACGGACTTCGACCTCGGCGCATCGCCCCCTTGACTGCGATTGGGCAACGGATCTTTAGACTTTAACTTTTTGGTTGAAATAAAGTTTCCCATTTTTTGAACGTTTCCCACTAAACCCCCCAAGAAGTTCTCAACTTTTTGCAGGGGGGTCGTTGCGGCAACCAAGCCCCATCGACCCCCATCGACCCCGCCGGACCTGGAAACATGGCCATGGTAAATGGAACTAGTGCCATCTAGTTCTAACCAAACTAACCCGAAAAGGACTCCTATGCGTCGTGGGGATCCATGTGTTTCCTTTGTTTGGTAAGTGTTTAAGGGGAAGCCCCTCCAAAAAAAGAAAGGCACTTGTCCGAGGGCATGGCTTGGGATGTGGACCCCAATGGATTTCAGTCTTCCTTCTGGTTGTGACCCCAACATGGGTACCCTCAAGAGACACGAACCCACATTGAAGTTGCGGGTCTACCTTGAGGCGGCACAAAAGGAGCACCGTGTCGAAATACAAGTAGGAGCAAGCATTGTTGACAACCCCCGCATGCGAGTATGATTGGGGGGGGTGTTTGTCACAAACAGGGAACCATCTTTTGGTGTTTGATGCCAACCACGCTAAACCCAAATGGGAGCCAGTTCTCAGCAAGCCCACCGTAGTCTGGCAAACACACATGTTGCCTTGCAACTAAAGACATCTTGAGAGACGTGCTGTCAGTGCCCAGGATCCGAAGAAATCACCCTGCTTTCGGCTGGCGATCGGTTTGGCTGGCGATGGGTCTGTGGTGTACTCCGCGCAGCAAACAAGCCAACAGATGTCGATCGCTTGGCTAAACCTCGAGTGTCCTCTCTCTGCCTGTTTGCTGACATGTCCGCTCTTACCACAGAATTCCAACAGAATCGCAGAATAATCACATGGATCTTCATATCGCGTTTGAAAACTTGCTCAACAAAGAAAACCGGATCCCTGAAGAACTGGCGAACGCCTCTGAAGTTCCCTCTGCAACCCTCAGACGGAAGTTTGAGCTCAGGCTGCGTGGATGGATGCATCGGAGTGGGACCCCCCCAGGCAGAAGACTGAACCTCTTGCAGCTTCAACAGAAAGCCCAGAAGTGAGTCGCAATCCAAAGCCGGCATCAATTTGGCCTGTCCAGCGCATGTCCTCATCCATTCTTGGCTGGGCCTGTCCCTAGTAACCTTCACGGGTTTGTGTCTTTCGCAGCAACAGCCGGCACCAAGACCAGCCTCAGCTGTTGCCGCCCAGCCAAGAACCATCTCTTGAATTCTGGGTCCAGATTTCGTGGACTCACTTCAATAAAAGGATTGGCCGCAAAAAAGCCTGAACTCGCTGCTTGCGGCTGAAAATGGTCTTCCCGAAAACAAGAAAAAGTCCAGACACCCCGAAAATCTGGGCGGAGCATCATGTCCAGCCGAAGACCGCCGTTTCTACTGAGATCCCCTGTAGCCTTTGGGTTTCCGCGCTTCGGCTGCATGGCCTGGAGGGCTTTCTGAGGATCTCCGCCTCAGCCCCCGCTGTTTCGAGACCACCCGGGTGGCCTGACTGCCAGGGCCCAGGAACCGTGTGCCCCGAAACAGGGAGTTGGACCCAAAACAGGCTGCGTTCCTTTGGCGTCCCAAAACACACACACACACACACATGGAGGTCAACCAAAGGGAGGCCTCGGGTTCCTCCTACTCTCAATAGCTGATGTCAAATTCGGAAGCCGGGGAACATGATCAGGGGTGGATTCCTCTCATCCCCAACTTAACATTCCAGCTGCATTCAGCTTTCATTGATGGTCAAAAACTCCCAAGGACCGAGCACTCTCAGGACTCATGCGAGTCATCTAGCTAGGTGTCTCTCTTAACAAACAAAAGGTGACCGTCCCTTTGGTGTGCACTGCAAAAAAAAAGTCGCTTCCCTTCGGTTTCCCTTGCAACCCTAAAACCAAGAGAAAAAAGGAGGCGAACGCCCTCCCAACAGCCAAGGCCAAGGCCGAGCACGCGGACCACCTGGCGCGAACCCAACCCGGCCAACCAAACCCAAGCAACCAAACCCGGGCAACCAAACCCAGCAACCAAACCCGGCCAAGCAGACAACCAAGCAAGCAAACTTGGCCATGCTGTGATTCGAAAGAGTCAGTAATTTAGTGCTGGCACGCTTCACAGAAGAGAACCACCTGCACGAAAAGGTAAGGTGTATAGCAAGCTCAGCGACCATGGCTGCGGATTTGAACCTCAGCAATGTCATCCTGCCTCTTCTCCGGCCGGGCCAATGGCTCCCGATCCAAGGTCGGTCTCTCTCCCCCAACCAAAAAACTCGGCCCTTTCTCGCCGGACAAACTTTCACCCATACAAAAAAAAAAACAATGCGTAGCGGCCCTGTCGCTGATTTGGGTATGGGTCAAAATTAGACCACCAGGGGACCACAAGTTTTAGTCTTTGATTCCATTTACCAAGGTGCCATTTTGGGGTTACCCAATTTTTGGCCCACGGCCATTTGAGGGCCACCAAAATTTTCCCCCAACCTCCAGGCTGAGCCTTGGAGCCACAAATCCTGTGACAGCTGAGGCCAGGGCATCTGCCACATGGGCCTTCAGCCTCTTCTTGTCCGCATCGTAGCCCACGTCCACGAAGGAGGTCTGCGACCCGACCCATCCGAGCGACCCGCGGCCGCGGGATCCGCGGGAGCGATCCGCGGGTTTTTCGGAGGTCCCAAGAGGTGGCCAAGTGAAGCGACTCCTCCCACCAGACCAAACACAAAGTGCACGCTGGGGGCCGGGCTCCTGAAAAAGTGGTGAAATATTTCGGGCACCCAGCCTAAATCCCGAACAGCATCCATAGGTGTCCAATTCTGCTTCGTCCAATGAGTAGCAAGCCCACCAACGGTCCTGTTCTGACCATGTCTTCAGGTGCTTTTGGGCAGCTCCAATCTGAGGCAGTGGTGCAGTCGTGCTGTCAGAACTCGAGCGCGCCTTCACTTTGCCATCCTTCCCGATGATGAAGGTTTTCCGGTCTGTGTTGGGGCCTCACCAACAGCGGGAAGCGCTGCACGGCAGCGAATGTGCGTCTCGGCTTGCCCCCGTCTTCTTTGTTTTGTTGCGCTGCAACAAGGACAATCATGAAAACATGCATCCCATGCCCTTGCTTCATATGCTTCATGATATCATGCAGCCTTCCAACCCAAAAATGCCCAAAGCTGCCGAACAATTCCTCCTCCAAACCAGTCCGACCAGTCCCCACCCGCCCTCTGGAGCCCTTGAGACGGGTCGGAGACGTCCCATCCGCCCCATCGGCTCGCTCCCCTCCGCGCCTTGCTCCTCGAGCTCCAGGTAGGCGCCGTAGGCCCGGGCCACGGAGCCGTCAAAGTCGCAGAGCATCGGGAAGCCCAGGTCCATGGCGTTGGCCTGCCTTAGGGCCGGCCGGCTGTGGGGGCCATGGGTTCATCCAACTGCACTTTTGAAATGTCTGGCCTATCCAGTGGTATTTCCCTATCCAGTGGTATTTCTGGCCCCTATCCAGTGGGCCTTTAGTTGAAGTTTCTGCCTTTAGTTGAATAGTGGACATTTCCCTATGTTTCTGAAAACTAACAGTACCGTCCCCACTTCCGGTGGCCATGGGTGTTTCTCCAAATGCGCCACTTTGAAAACAATATGGTTGAAACCCTGGACCGGTTGTTGGCATTTACGTTGGGGAAGAAATTGAATCATTCCAGGGCTTCTTAGGTGGCGCGAAATGGATTTTGCCCGTCCAGAGTAGGAATCTGTCCAGGAAAATGGGAGTTGACTTCTGTTCGGCTTCCCAACTAGAAAGGGATCCGCCATTTTGAGAAGCACCCACCTTGGGATTTCGCATGGGAATCATGGGAACCCCGGAAAGACTGGACCCCCCGGTGATTTTTTGATGGGTGAACCCCTTTTTGGTTGGGAATTGTGAAAGGGTATGAATGTGGATGGGAGCCTTTAGATCGTTGAGCTTGGGAGTCGGAGTCATGTCCACCTTTTATTGCCAGTGGAATATGGGGCAATCTTTTTGAGGGCAACCGAGTATCCACTGTTGGCTTCAATAGGAAGCCAAAAGGAAAAACGCAATCCGTTGGGGGTCTATTTTGAGACATGCCCTCCCTCCAACTATCATGGAAGTTGACACGAGGGGTTGAGAATTCTACCCTCCTTTTAGGACAACCCCCCGTCCACTTCCATTGGAAAGAGGGTACCCATCTAGGACCGAATCAAAAGATCCCAAGTCGGCGACCTACGAAGCAAGCACTAGCACCCTGTTTTCCAGCTGCCCGAACTGCTGGCCAGTGCCTCAACACAACGCTTCAAAGGGTAGCATGTTGTTTTCTCGGTTGCTTTCTGCTCCCCTGCTAAAAGTTTAATTTTTACTGGTTTAATGGAAAACCCAGTAGTTGGCAACAAGTTAAAGTCCTAGCATCCAAGCAAAATGAACCAAAGCTTTGACACCTCGACTTGAGCGAATGCAAGGAAGCCACCAAGAACCGCGTCCTTTCGGAAGCACCCGTCTTTTCGAGCAGAACGGGCCTTCCGACAAGGAAACACCTGTGCGGCTTCCCCATGTTGAGGTCTCACAACCCCACAAACCTCAAACCTCCTGGGGCCTGTGGCGTCATCAGCGCTGTGATGGGCTCCATCTGAATCTGGCCAACCCCGCAGGCCATAAAGTCTAAAGCTTGGACCATTGGAGTTCGAAAATCGAAACACTCTTTGAAGCTGCCTCTACATGTAGGAAGCCCAAACATGTTGTGTTTTTCCCTTCGACTGGTCAGAACAACCACATAACGCAGGTATAACACCCGGGGGGTGCGGCTATCTATTAAAGTAACAAACTTGTTTGCTATGTGGTGGTCAGGGAACCACCCACTTCTTGACTTCAAGAGCGGACAAAACCCTGCCCCAGGTAAGTGTGACGCGGCGTGCCCCGACCACCGTCGCTCCTCGCGCCGCCAGATCCTGGGACAGTTTGAGCAACAAGTTGGATCTGCCAAGCTCCAAAAATCCATACGGGGATTGGTCAAAAGGTCCGTGATACATGGGATGACTCATTGGTGGACAAACGACTAAAATGATTTGAGACGGCAACCACTAAATAGGACAAGTTACCCATGGTCATTTGGGGGCCGGGAATGTGTGGGGCATGGTCATGTTTCACTGAAGGGAATCCTCGTATACCTGGGCTGCCTTCAGATGCTCCCCTCAAAGTTTAACTTTTAGTGGGTTAAATGGAAACTACCACTAAACACTAAAAAGCTAAAAGGCTAAGGAACTGGATGGCTGGGAGACACCAAAATACCGGATAGCTACAACCCCCTCGAGGGGACCCGATCAAGCCAGCCAGGTGTGACCCGCCCCCCAAACAGCCGCAGGGCTTCGGCTTCGCCTTCTGCGCGCGGTTGAAGAGCTGGCGCGGCGAGCAGGCGATCGATCTGCTTGAGGTCAACTTGGACAGGAAACAGAGATACAGCTTGGGGACACCATGGGCTTGTTGATCTGCGGGGCCCAGGAGCCTGTGGGGGACGAATAGGAACTATTTACAAAAACAGTGGAAACCATCCAGAACTATCTCCAAAAAATGCTAAGAAGTATACAGCCATAAAACTCGATGCAGCACACCGGACACAAAAAACAGTATAGTACATCATTGGAAGAACCGGGCCAAGGCACAAATCCAGTCAAAAAGTGCTGCTTGCAGCACCCCTTGTGCCGTCCAGTAAGAGCCTGATGAGCCGGCGAAGTCTCACTCTAAGGGTGCAAAAAGTGCCGCATGTCAAAAAACCGCTGCACCACGTGCCACAAAGTTCGGGGCAACCTCCGTCCCTCGCTATTCCCCTCCGGCTTCGTGCCTGGACCTCCTGAAGGTCACCGCCTAGTCGCGTTTTTGGGGTTGGCACGCCCTCAGCCCAGTTTCAGGGATTCACTCAGACAAATCTGCTGAAGATGGCACCATCCAACTTGAGCTTATCTAGCAGCGTGCCGAGACGTTTGGGAAATTTTGCCATCTAGATCCACCGAGAAAAGGTTTGGATGTGTGAAAAACTCGGGTGTCCACTTTCAAAAAAAACCTGAACCACACACAGAAAGCGGACATGCAGGGTTGGTGGCGAAAACTCCGGATTCAGCAACGATTTCCAGAATGGGGACAATCTGACATAAGTACGGGCCGATCAAGCAGACATAAGGGAGAAGCAAGCTACGAATTCCATGGAATCCCCCTTGCGCTGGAACCCTCCCGTGAAGCAATTTGGATGGACAAGAAAAACACGTTGACAGGATGTCCATTTAGCCTGGACTTCCGTGAGCTGGATCGCTTCATGTGGCGTATTGACGGCAGCGGAGAGACCCGGGATGACAGCCATTTAAGACGCAGATCATCAAGATTTCAATGAACTCACGGGTTTTCTTTAAGCATGCTGTTCGGTCCTGGATTTTTCTGCCTAACCGGTTACAGTATGTTGTTTGCTTCGGAGTTCCCTCCAAAATGGTTGGTGAAATCCCGACCTAAATGACCACCTGAGGGTCCCCAGCCAAGATTCACACCCCAGGCGTGCACGCAAAACAAACTCCGCGTTGCCGTTGGTCACACTACAAGCCAAGGTCGCATCCACCACGCAAACACAAAGTCTCTTCGGGTCGCCTCTGAAGCGACTGGAGGGCCGGAAGAAAACCACCAAAAACCTCGGTGAACACACTGGTCGTGCCAACATTGCTTGCAGGCTTTCCAACTCGGCACGTGTCCAAAGCAACTGCGCCCAAACCCATTGACTGTTGGCTCTTGCCCATGGTTTGAAGGATTATACAGGCTGCACAGGAATTAAACAACTTGAAGCCAGGTAGGAGCCTGGTGTGCCGCCAAAAGCCTGGCGGTGCCCGGTGCATCGTCTTAGCGTGACAAACCTTATTCCAGCGACGGACGCGCAGTCTTTGCAAGCGGCCGTGTCTCACAATCGCAGACCCCCTTGGATTGGTCGTGTGGTTTGCTGGTTAGGTCCCCATCTACCCTACAAGAAGGGGCGCAAACCCCCAAACCACCAATTACGGGGCGCTCAAATGCAACCAAAACCCTTTCCCCACAAAACTTCATTTCCCACCAACCACCAACCAAGCCACCCACCCGCTGCTCCTAGCAGCACGTGCACGGCATGAAAACTGACCCAATTGCAATCAGAGAAGTCATATATGCCACGCTGATGAGTCTTGAGACAAGAGGTGGCAAAAAGCGCCCGACGCAACAAGTCGCAATTAGAGCCTTCTTTTCCGCTCTTCCTTCGCGGCCCTCGCCGCCCGTCACGCGGCCTCTTGGGCCGCTTGCTCGCTTTGGCAGCCGCTGTGGCATGACTGTAGCCAGCCTCTCGCAGAGTGCCTGGTAGCTGTGGCTTGCGTCTGCCCCTTGTAGCGTTCTGAGCGTGGGCATGTAGACGCGGAAGGGAACCCGCCAGGCGTCGGAGGAGCCACCCAAAAACCCTGCGCGCGAAGATCATGGCAACGGTCTCTCCTGCACGGGGCCAAGACAAAGGGCGAAGCTTGCTCAGGAAAAACGCAACAACGCCAAACGCGGAAAGCGAAAAAAACCGCCTGCCTTCAGTTTAGAGCGCAAGGCTGGGTCTGCCTCGCTTGAGCCACGGGCTACAGCCAAGAGGAAGATGGCCAAGGGTCGGGCCACGGCAAAACAAAAAGATGCGGCGGCAGCAAGCAAGTAGAGACGGCTGCGTGGAAAACAAGCGCTGGCTAAAGCTCATCTCTTCGCGCGGCAGGAAGATTTCGCCGGCTACCCTCGCCTCCTTTCAACGCAGCACCCTCAAACACAGCGCGACGGAATGATCCCCGGCCGCTTAGGAGGGGGAGTCGTAGATCCTCTTCATTTGGCAGAGCAAAGCAAAGCAAGACAAAGCAAAGCGGGAGGCAAAAGCAAAGCGCAGCAGAAACAGAAGCAAAAGCAAAGAAGCAGGAGCAGAGTCAAGCAAGCTTTTTGTTCAATAAATGCTGGTTTGACTAGCCTGGGGCTTGGGTCTGGCAACAGAAGTTGTACAACTGAGCAATATCTATATCCCGCTGGAGAACTTGCAACTCTCATCAGCTCATGTGCTTGACGAGCTGTTTTGCTTCTGGTGATGTTGCTGATGTTGCCAGACCCAGGGCCAGGTTTGCTAGGACTTGAATCATAACTCTTGACCCAACCAATCCACAACCCATCTGCCCAACCACCCACCCACCCACACCCACCCACCCACCGACCAACCCAGCCACAAATTCATATTAATTCATTCAGCAGCAACAACAACAAGGTAGGCGGCGTTCCTCGCGGCCCTGCGAAAATGAACGTCAGCGCCACGAAACTATGGTTTTTGCCACGCGTGTTTTGTGGGGTGAATTACAAATAAGACTGAAACGCTTTCATGCAGGCACACACACATAAACAAACAAACAAACAAACAAACAAACAAACAAACAAACAAAACAAGCACACAAACACACGCACCCACACACACACACACACGCAAGCGCTAAACACGGAAACATGAAACATGACAGCACGCAAGTGCCCCAACACCCAAGCACATAAACACGCAAACACGCAAAGAAATAACATCGGCAATAATGAAGCGGCAGCAACAGCACCAAAAAGTACGACAACAACAGCGAGAACGACGACGACCACGATGACGAACCACCTTCCAGCGGCTAACATGATTGCATTGCTGCGGGGGGATCACTGGCAAGTGCGCTCATCATTTAACTAACTTGTTTGTACTGTTGCGCGGGAATCACTGTGGCGGGTGCGCTTATCACTTGTACTGTTGCGTGGGAATCACTGTGGCGAGTGTGCTTATCACTTGGTTAACATGCTACGTAGTACTGTTGCGTGGGAATCACTGTGGCGGGTGTGCTTATGACTTGGCCAACATGCTTGTACTGTTGCGTTGGAATCACTGTGGCGGGTGCGCTTATCACTTGGCTAACATGCAAAAACTGTTGCGTGGGAATCAGTGTGGCGGGTGTGCTTATCACTTGGCTAACATGTTTGTACTGTTGCATGGGAATCGCTGTGGCGGGTGTGTGTATCACTTGGCTAACATGCTTGTACTGTTGCGTGGGAATCACTGTGGCGGGTGTGCTTATCACTTGGCTAACATGCAAAAACTGTTGCGTGGGAATCACTGTGGCGGGTGTGATTATCACTTGGCCAACATGCTTGTACTGCTGCGTGGGAATCACTGTGGCGGGTGTGCTTTTCACTTGGCTAACATGTTTGTACTGTTGCGTGGGAATCACTGTGGTTGTGCTTATCACTTGGCTAACATGCTTGTACTGCTGCGTGGGAATCACTGTGGGGTGTGCAAAACACTTGGCTAACATGTGTGTACTGTTGCGTGGGAATCACTGTGGCGGGTGCGCTTATCACTTGTACTGTTGCGCAGGAATCACTGTGGCGGGTGTGCTTGTCACTTGGCTATGTTTGTACTGTTGCGTGGGGATCACTGTGGCGGGTGTGCTTATCACT